GTTGACATAAAAGCTAGATCATTGTCCGTTAAGCAATCTAATTTTCTTCAGGTGCAGAATTCACAAAGAAGAAATGTTGGTTATCTCCGGACGGTGGCATGTTGAACAACCGGCGCGGTCGATTCATAGTGCTGGGATCCTCCGGCGAGTGCCTGCCAGTGACGCGGTCTACCGGCGCCCTGCAGGACGGACAGGAAGACAGTCTCTACTCCAGCTGTAACTCCAGCGACGACGAATACCACAGCGCTAATGATAGCTTCGACTATGGTAACTTGGATATTATTTTCTTACAGACTTCAAGTCTTTACTGCTTGTATTTGTTATTGGATGTTTAAAAAATATATAATCTGAGTAGAGTTTGCAACGATAACCGCTATGGAGACTAAGTATACTAGGATGGGCACAATCCACTGATATGATAGCACAATCCATCTAGTTTACCTCTTTGCAGCCTGGATTAAAAGACGTGATGTAGTGTATGTTGAAAATGAAAGTGATATTAATTCCAGGCAGTGAAGATGAAGGTCGTGGCGAGAGTGCTCGTCCCAATTCATTCCAATACCTCAAGGAGTTGTCGACGGAAGAAAGACGGCTGAGTTTCGCAGACAGACTACGTGAGGCTTTGAGAAGAGAAGCTGAACATTCTACCACCACCAGCACTGGGGACTGGTCCACTGATAGTTCTAGTTATGCTGTCGGTATCAGCATATCTGGGGCGGGGGTGCAAGACAATGATATCAGGTATCTTTGTAGAAGTGACTATACTATACGAAAGACGATATTTGCCTTGTTTACTTTGCCAATGGAATTAATAATCTTTTGAACCTAAAAACTGGAATTCTACCTATCTGTGCATACAAATAACCAACGTAAATGAACCTAATCTAAAGGTTTCACCTACCAGGGTAAAACGCGGAGGTTCAGTTGGCTTCGTGTTGACGGAGAAGGAGACTGTTAGCAACGGCGAGCCTTCACCGAGACATCGACCGCTCGGCAGGAAGGACACCGGCAACAGTTCCAAGTACAGCTTCAGCACCGAATACACGTGAGTTTATTCGATCAACCAACTCCACCGGGTGACACCTCAGTCTGTGTTAAATATAAAAACTATTGAACCAATGTTTATACTGTGAATGAGATGATTCTTACGAAAGATTTATAAACAAAATCGGTAGGAGCGAAAGGATCTAACAAGATAGATAGATGAAAAAAATAAAATTAAAGCGATTGATAATTTTGCGGTTTAATGTTTAAATCTTTATTAATTTGCCTATTTCAGTTCGGAGTTAGAAGAGGTGTACGAGCAGTTCAACCAGTGGCTGAACGACCCCATCGTCGACGCGGAGTCCGGGGAACACAAGAACAGGGAACTCGACTCGCGAGACTTGGCTGTGATTAGGTACCTAAGTCATATCAAATGTATTCTTATTGGACCTAGTCCAAACAGTTTAAGGGCTCCTCTTAGTGGCTTTTCTGTACTATTAGACGGACGATCAACTGAAAAAAAATATCGGAGGGAAGAGAAATAGAAATTATTTTTGGCTACTTTCTCTAAGAATACTGTCCTCATTAATCTCGTTGTCTGAAAACTCAAACCGTTCAAATGAAAAGCAGCTTGATTTTTTCGGGATCGTTTTTGGCTGATTGCTCTTGGTTTACATGATTTACAATGATAAGGCTTGGCTCATACTGAAAACATATTTATGTACGTGTATACTTCCCGTGTGTAGGTTTGCAGGCTCCCTATTGAAGCGTACTCTGTCGGAGTCTCTAGCAGTGGGCGGCGGTAGCGGCGCGGACGCCGCGGAACTGTACGGTCGCGAGCCGCGCGCGATACCGCCGCGTCCGCTGGCGCTGGCGGCGCGCTCGCTGTCTCTCGAGCTAGCAAGGCACAAACATCGACTGGCTGCACATCTCGTACGTAATGTATTCATTACATGCACTACCCTGTGCTCTAAATGAATTAAATTAGACTACAGGTATTACTGACAATGAGGATAAAAATGTAATATAAAAAATAGGACAAATGGAAACAAGTTTCCGCGTTATGCGTGTGTCCATTGTCTTAGGTACTCCACAGAGACATAGGCGTTTTGTATGTTTAGTATTTACATAGCTGCCAACATAGAAAAGGTGACTAACTCAACATCCTAACCTATTAACAAATCAAGGTAAGATACAGAATTCGGCGCGCTGATGCTGATGTTATTTCTTAACTAATCGAGTGCATCTACAACCTACATTGGCTACAAGCAAATTAAATAACAAAATGAACCAACGGTACTAAAATGCTATATGTTTTGACAGAAACGTAAAGTAAAAGAATCTATACCGGAGGAGATAATAGAGGGCACGCGAGCGACCGCGACCGCAGACACAGAACGCGGCGACGAAGTCAAACGTACGGACACGACTGAGTCAGACACTGAGTCCAACCGCGGACTCAGGAGGAAAAAGTTGAACTGGATGATAAACATGATCGTAGAGACGATTGAGGAGACCGTCGAGTGCGAGCCGGTCACTGTAAAGCTAAAGAAACCGAAGGTCAGGCGTGCACCCGGCTGTCGCTAACTTGTAAACACTCAGTACTAACATAACATAAACTGATCGTACGTCTTCGCTTTCTGTCGAAACATATACTTCTGTGATGTTGCATGTAATAATGAAAGCTAAGACTGGGGATGCGGGTCCACGTTCATTTGTTCCGCCCTAGAATTCGGACCGGGAACGCATGGACGTAACCTGACCTCACCGAGTTGTAAGCGACACAGTGTTTGTATCGCAGTCTCGGAATCCTCGTCTCGCCGTCTGAATACAGAGTCGGATATTGTCGAGTTCAGAAGTTATGTAAATGCTATCGCTCGATGTTCACGTGTTTCCATTGTGTTCTATGTCCGTCCAAATAAAGTAAACTATTTACTTCGGCTAATATTACTTATACCTCTATAGAAACCAAAGTGTGGTAGACTTTAAAATAAGTAACAGTACGGTGCCGCTAATCGCTTGAAACTTTACTATACAAGTATCTATCTATCTAGTTGTGTGTGTGTATTTATTTGGAAGGTTGATCAAACTGACACAACTGACATTGTTTTCGAACTACCTGCATACATACAGCGCTTTACCGTCATTTCATCATCTCCCATAGGTTCTCATTATAGGTTGTTTTTTTTTTTTTTAAGGGGGCAAATCATCGAATGACTGCCCCCGCCTGGGTGAGGCGGGAGGGAGTGTCAGACTCTTACTGACTAAAAACCACCCCGTTCCTTCTCCTGCACGTCGAGCCGGAGCCCCGATTACCCGTTAGGTTCTCCGCGACTCTCATTATAGGTTGCTGCCACACTCAGCATTAACAGAAAAAATACTGATAATAAATAGAGGATTCAAACAAAAAAAAAACCTATAATCTTTAGATCCTTAATTTGACACAAATAGAATCCTTGTAGCTTATGGACTTGTGCCCTATGTGCGAGTGCCCTATGTGGGATGGTGAGTGAAGTTGATCGCGACACGGTTCGCAGCTGTCGCAGTTGGCGCAAAAGATCGTGTCGGGCGGCGCGTGTCGGCCCGTGGCCACCGGCAACTGGGGCTGCGGCCGCCGCCTGCGCGGACACCCACAGCTCAAGCTGCTGCTGCAGTGGCTGGCCGCCAGCGTCGCCGGCGTGCCCGCGCTCATCTACTACACCTTCGGCAACGAGAAGCTCTTCAAGGTTGGATTGAAGTGTTTTGGTTTTCTTTCTGTTCTGTTCATAATAATAACATGTTGAGGACATACCTGCCTACTGCCTAGTAAGAAATTAATAAAATTCTCTTCTCTCCACAGTTGGATACACTTGTCAGGGTCCTAGTGGATAGAAAATGGACGGTGGGTCAGTTAGCGCGCGCAGTGCTTAAGTTCGCGCGACAGACGCTCAACGAACCGCACGTTATACCGGACAACCATTCGCTGTTTGACGAACTAATAGGCATCGAGAAGATACCAGACGACACATAGCTAACAATCACCTAACGCAAGGCTCCACGACAAGACTCTCAATACTACTGCGTCACAACAATTTGTTAGCAAATGGAGTGATAGTGCGCGAGCCACGACTGGTCATTCACCGGGAACAAACCGTATGATATGACGCTCTATCAGTACTCATACAGGATTCGGCGTTCTGCAGGCCGCGCAAATTTATAATAATTTAACCACGCGGAGTAATATATAGTAGCACTCTCTTTGCTTATTACTCCGTGCCACATTAAGTTAGCTTCGTTCAGTCACTCTGCTATTACTCATTAATGCATTTATGTTATTCCGTCATCATACTCAATAGTAAGGTGGTTCAACTGTGTCTTATTTTAAATAATGTTTGTGGACTTTTAGATATTTTTTACGAAATAGTTACATAAAAGCAATATTAGCATTTGATTCGATTTAAAAATACAAAACTTTAATAAAGTATTTTTATACAAAACTATCGATTAAAGTACAATTATAAAATTTACCTTAATGTAACTTTTATCAAGTCATTGTTAATAAACTTGAATAAAAAAACTAATGTAAAGGGATTTTTAATTACAAATTTTAATAAATTTACATAAATAATAGTGCAGTGCTAATATTAAGACTGTGTACTGTTTATAAAAGTTTCCAAGTTTACCAACTTCATTTTTTATAATCACAATAGTTTCGTAATCAACCATCGTAGTGAAGTTTTCAACCATTTAATTGTAAATACTGATTGAATTATTTGAAACCATGTCATACATGTAGCTTGACAATATTATTACCCTGTTAAATTATAATGAAGTTAAATATTTACGTCACCTCCGGTCTCCACAATTCGGTGTCTTACAGAGACTTATCTAACAAAGTCTTCCATACCATGAATCTCAATGTGTCCAAAGTTGTTAATTTTGAAGTGAAACTATAAAATTTCGAACGGGATGCGTAAATAAAATAATGCGTCACATAATTTGTGTATTATTTTGGTTGTTATTTTGAATGAAACAACTTCAATTTAAAAGGTACATGTTTTATTAAGTAGCTAGAAAATCAGTCACTATGTCAATTTTATGATGTAGCGTGACATTTACAATTAACTTACATAATGTGAATGGCATTAATTGGTACTGTGAGCAAAAACAATACCAATATTGATTTAAGACTGCAACACATTCTCTTCAGAAAGCTATAATAGTATTCTGTTTTGTTGTATAGTATTTTAATTTAATCTAAACGCAGATTTACATAACTGCAAATCAACATTTAATCAAGTAGGTATTCGACTATTACAGATTTTTGAGAATGGTATTTGCCGGCATCATAGCACATTTTCTTTAGTGTGTGGATGTAATATTTTTCATTATAATGAGAATCGCGATCAATAAGGCAGTCATTTTGGTACACGCTAGACGGCGCCAATGACGCGTATATGATCCTGTTAGTCCAATACTATTCTAATAAGTTAATGCAACATTTACTATTGGTTAACATTAGCAAAAATATTCTGCTCATCCAGAAATCCTACGCGATACGAGCGCCTCTAGCAACGCAAATACTCATATTCTCATATTAAAAACTAAATTTCTTTAAATTGTACTGAGTATAGAATTTGTGGAAAAAAATCTCATATTAGAAAAAAAGACTACAAAATGCATTTTTTCCACTCACTCTATGATGTTATGGTATCTGTACAAAAGTATTTAATATTAATTACCACCCTAAAAGAATAGTCCTCTCATGCGGCGACCCATGCCCTGTCTGTCGTAGAGTACGTTGAATCTGTTCACTAACTGGTTGATAGCATTACAGCCCTTTGTTATTGTGCCCAGGTACGTCATCAGCGCGACGTCATTGCATTGCTGAAAAATGTACAATTAGTATTGCAGGATTTTTAGTAAAATATTATCACATCAGCATCCACCATAAGGTTTACAAAGAAACAAATGGGTACCTAAGAAATGTATAAAAACTATACATACGTTATAGAAGTGTGTGCGGAACTGTTGTGAAGTGAGTAGAGGCAGTCTGTTGGAGAGTGCGCGCGCTTCCCGCAGTAGAGCTGGCCGCGGCGGCAGAGTGCCGTCACGGATCGCACGCACCGTCGCCAGCACGGCACGCACTCGAGATACTAACATCTTTATAGCAGAGCGCTGCGCCGTCAGGTGCTCAGCCACTGAAACAAACATGTATAAAATTATTATAGGTGAGGAATCACTACATTTTATGCTTTGCAGATTCTTTATCACAGTTACAAAGTTAATTAATGTTGAAAGTATAAAAATAAATAATTATAGATAAGCAACACAGTACCAGTTTAACAAATTAAAACAACTGTTTAAAATAATTTTCTCAACAATATTTTGTACATTTTCTGTTGTGTACTCGTGTAAGAAAAATACAGATATTATATTAAACCTCACCTAAGCTGTTAAGAGCAGCTTCACCAGAAGACACTCGGGCTACATGATCCACACCAATTCTTTCTGCTTCTTCTGCCGCCAGCGTGTATGTGAGAGGTGCCAGTAGCATTGTCGCTCGTCCATTAACTACATCAATTACGGACTCATATAAAACCACTGGCAGTTGCTGAAAAATATGCAAAGAACACTTTGTTAGTACAATGTAAGTACCTAATTGACAGCAGTTACAAAACAAAAAAAATTGGAGGGATGTAACACAATCATGTTAAATAAATGCTACCTTATTGGTCAAGTTGATTAGAGAAAAATTCTGGGTGAAAAGTGGATGTCACTCTTTTTATACCTATGTATAATATGTTAAATCTATTCAACCAACCTTTATTTACAGTAATAAAAGTAAAGGTTTACAATTCTCTTTACAATTAGAAAGAATACAATAAATCAGAAATTGAAATTGATCAAAATACAATACTGTTGGGCGACTCACATCTCCATTCCTTCCTGCTGGGTTGAGCATCAGCATGACTGGGCACTCATTGATTTCACAGATCTGACGATGAATGGCTATGTCTTTGTCAGTGGGAGCATCTCCTGTAGTGTACCAGCCCAAGAAATCCATATCAGAGAATACTTGTTTGACTGCAATTGTAAACAAAGGAATTTATTAGTTTATTTTCAGCAATGATTGTCCTACAGATCTCCCTATTCTCTTTGCACCACAAACTTAATTTCATTACTTACTTCAGTTAATATGCAATATTATTTAGCCAAGGTATTAAAGTTAAAAATAAACATACTACTATTCAGAGGGTACTCCTCATATCTACTTGATAAGTAATCATGTATACTCACATTGTTCCTCCTTTAAATTGTAATAATCTCTATCAATTAAAATATCGCCCTCAATAACACTGAACATTAATTCAAATGAATTCATGACTTCTATGTTTCTGCCTTTCTGTTTGCCAATTAGTGCTCCAATTACTGAAATATTAAAATAGGCATTTAGGGACAAATCATTTAACAATTAGGAGTAATTTCTGAAAAATATTAATTTAATTGTTATCCCTATTATATGAGCAACCCACCAATCTGTGGTGATCCTTCTTGCGCTCGCAATCTTGTCCAATGTTCAGACACATTCATTATTACGAGTGGATGCAAAGACACTGTTACAGATCCTGAAGTGGCCGTGGTAACCACGACGCTCTTAGTGCAACCTGGTGCAGCAGGCGCTGGAGATGTGGGGTTAGGAGGATCCACAGCCGGCCCTGATGAAGCACTTTCCACCTCTACTTCCATTTCAAAATCAATTCTGTCAGCACTCGACATGATACAAACGTTCTTTTGTCAAATTTAAATAGTACTCAATTATGTGTACTGCAGCCAGCAATACACATAGGCTAAGTAAAATTATGTATTTGATAGAGGATGAAAAACAATCAGGACAAATCAGAATCAGATGAACAACCAACAGCAATTACATTACATGTGTCAAAATCAACTCAATACTGTCACTACACTGTCATTGTCAAACTTATTATTTTGATTGTCATTTACTAATTTCAGTTTTTCTTTTTTTTTAATTTGTTAATGATTTGGTCCGTAATAATAACAAGCGAACGTTTTCCATCCTGTTTTAAATTATATAATATATTAAATAATAGTGTTTTATATTAGGTATTTAAAGAACCAACTTTCTAGTTTTTCAACCTTTATCCGATTGTCTATAGTCAAATATCCAATTATTATTTATCTGTTGTAATTTGTCTATGATTGGCATTGGATGGTTGACTGGTCTCGCTCGTTGTGTTTGTGATCATTTGGTTATAATTAGTTGGAAAGTGAACAACGATTTACGTGATAATGAAATATTAAAAATTTTGTAATGAAGAGTTGATTCATTGAAAACAGTTTATTAGAAGAACCTAACAGCAAGTTATTTATTTATCGTCCACCTGTCATCGAGTGTTCTACGCGGAGAGTGGTGTTTTTCTCAGGCGGAGTGTGGTGTTTTTCTCAGGCGGAGTGTGGTGTTTTTATCAGGTCAGCAGAAATCTCTTTCTCATCATTAACATAAAAATGGCAACAGCAACAGCCTTAAAAGCTTTGGCGGGTGTGTCCAAAGACATATCGCCGTTATATTACAGGATATTGTCGAAATTCCCTCAGAATTTTACGTTCTGCTTCGCCTATGGATCTGCTGTGAAACCTCAGATAGGCAACAATAAAAAGCAGAACATGATTGATTTAATTTACTGTGTGGACAATTCATACCGATGGCACGCGGCTAACATCGAAATAAACCCCACACACTACTCTGCACTGAAATACCTGGGCAAAGGATTTGTCGCAAGGTTCCAGGAAAACTGGGGAGCCAAGGTATATTTCAACACCCTTGTTGAAATGAAAGAAGAGAACATTCTCATAAAGTATGGGGTTGTCTCACAAAAAGATTTAGTTGCTGATCTTTTGGACTGGAATGATCTGTATCTGGCTGGCAGGCTGCACAAACCAGTAGAGATTATTAAAAAAACCAATAGCACACAACTTCAGGCTGCTCTCCATTCAAACTTACGCTCTGCAGTCCACACAGCACTGCTCACTTTGCCAGAGACATTTTCTGAGTATGACTTCTACTTTGCCATATCTAACCTAAGTTATGCGGGAGACTTTCGAATGACATTTGGAGAGAACAAAAACAAAGTTAGAAACATAGTACAGCCACAATTGTTGAGTTTTCGTGAATTGTATCGTCCCATAATACAACAGTTTAATGCCTATGTGGACATTCCAACTGGAGATGCAAAGTGTCATCAAGATATAAATCCGGAGACAAAGTTGCATCATTTAATGCAGTTGCCAATGGTACCCCAGCAAAAAATTGTCAAGTTTTGGAATCATGGTGGCTTACAACAAGACATGGAGGATGTCCTACGAGCAGTGGCATATGACATAGACTGTGCTGTTGTTCTGCGGCAAATACTGAGAGGCATAGTGTGGCAGTCCAGTGTGAGGCAATCTTTGAAGGGGATACTTACTGCTGGTTTTCTAAAGTCTGTTCGTTACAGTGCTAAGAAAATAGCAAAAATGTTTTAAATGTGTTTATGTATTGTAAATATGTAATAAAAGTAGTAAGTAAATTAGGCTTTTTTATTCCTGATTCTAAAACCTCTTTTTTTGTTTCTAGGTACAATAATGATTTCAGATGAGTCAAGCAGTGATTCCGAAACAGGTAGATTCAAAGGTCGAGCAAAGACCCAAGATGATAAATCTACTAATCAAAAGGCTGATGATTTTAGAGACTTGGGAAGAAGTAGACAATCTGGAGCTGATAGATTTAATAGAAATTTTGACAGAAAAAGAGAAGAGCGATCCCGCTCTGATAGATATTCTAGAGATAGAGAACGCGAACGTGATAGACACAGGTATTCTAGATATTCTCCTGTAAACAGAAGGAGACATTCAAGAGATAGAAGCCCAAACAGAAAATCTCATGAGAGTAGGATCAGAGAATCTAGTGATAAGCCAAGGGTTAAAGAACATAGAAGTAGTAGTAGAGATAGACATAAACATTCTGGGTCCACCTCTCGATCTTATATAGCTCATGATTTTAGAAAAGAAAAGGAAGTTAAAGAAGATGTACGTCGTAAACCAGATCACGATAGAAGTCGTGAAACGTCCCTAAAGAAATCAAAAGAAAAATCATTATCTCCTGATCATAGATCCAAGAGATCTGAGATATATATTCCCCCACCTGCTGCTGCGCTAAAAAGAAAAAGTGAAAGCCCAATAGTTATTGAAGAGCATGATAGTGATGCATCTGCCGAAGTGCAGCCTGGCTCTTATTATAACATGATCCCAGCTGTTGTTAAGGAGAAGACCGAGGAATCAAGTGAAATTGATTCTTCTGATGATGAGAGGCTAAGGGCAAAACTTTTAAATTTAGAGAAAGAACTACAAAAAACAAAAAGGAAGAAACATAAGAAAAAACACAAAAGAAAAAGTTCGAAGTCCAGCAAAGACAGGGAGAGGGATGCTTCAGTATCAGTAGAAGTAAGTAGCACAACTGACATTGATGTAAAAGCTGATGTTACAAAAAACCAAACTGAGCCTGTAGAAGATGTGGTGGTCTCTTCTACACAAAAAGGTGCTCAAAAAGAGAGTTGCGAAGAAGGCGAGATATCAAGTGATGATTCTCAGAGTGCAATTGAAATTGATCCAACAGACTTGAGACACAAGTTGAGGCGCTCGGCTCCCAGGGGCGACGACAAGTCGGCTGTGGACGTGTGCGGGCCCGCGCTGCCGCCACATTTCGAGAAACGGTTCGAGCGAAGCGCCTCACCAAATACAGAGGGTCCTGCTCTACCACCCCACCTTATCAAGAATTCAAAAAATATAGGTAATGTAATATTTTCAATGCGCTATATTATAATTAATTAAAATTTTCAATTTTTTATATCCTCCGCTAGCGTCGGACAACATTGTCCGACACGGCAGCCAATGTGTTAACTAATAGTTAACTAATAATGTAATTAACTTTATTTTACCAATTATGTAATTATGATTTTATTTCATTATTAATCTTTTCTTTATAGAAAAGATTATTATACTTTACTAAAATTGTATAACTTAATACTTACTCATTTATTAATTGCTTACTTCAAGTTATCATTATCATCATGATTAATAATAATTATTCATTCATTTTCTTCATTATAGGACCTTCTATACCTGATGATATGCGCAAAGTACTAGCTGAGAGAGAAGTCGTTAAATACGAAAGTTCAGATGAAGATATTGGCATTGGACCTTTACCTGCTGGATCAGAGGAAAAATGGTCAGACGCACACCGGCGACTCGAAGAGAGAGCATTGGATATAAAAATAAGAAATTTAGATGGCCATTCCGATACCAGTAAGATGAAATCCAGGGAGCAATGGATGTTGGAGCTGCCTGAGGGCAAAGCGAAGATTATCGGCTTGGAGGCACGTAGCTTCAGAGCTAAGGAGGGCCCTGACATGTCGGACAGGTACATTTTCTTACTACATTTATTTTCGTTCTAGAAAAGCAATAATAACTAATTCATTAATTACTTTACAATCTGTGCATAATACTCGTAGTTATGTACGCCAGTTGTCCCTTGGAATCCATGAAATATCAAGACATGTAAGAAAGATAGGTAATAACAGTTTGTTGTATTCACAGGTCGAGTTGGACAGACACTCCAGAAGAGAAAGCAAGAAAAGCAGCTGGACTTATGAAAGAAGAAGATGTGGAAATGTCCTTAAAACATGAAGCGAGGATGCGCCACATCGCTTCCAGGGACGACGAGCAAGAAGCAGCCGTCAAGTACGTATCGGAAAGCCATTTCATTGGCTTTTATCTATATTTCTATCATTATATTCGATGTATAGAATATTTAATTTGATATTTCAATAAAATTCCACAATGGGATTCTAATTTTGTAATGCAATGTCAGGTTATCAGCCTCAGTGTGACTCAAAACTTGTCGAGTATCCTCGAACAGGGGGCTTACTCTTGAAACCAATTCCGATCGATCGGCCTTGGTGTTGTGAAATTTCGTTCTTTCGAGTTGCTACCCTAGCGCACATTACATCCGTATTGCGTAGATATTTAATGAACTAAATGGTACTGAGTGTGGCTTTATATTCCGTACTCGGAATGCTATTTTAACAGATACGATAGGGGTTGTATAGTTTTGACATTGAATAATTATTTAGACTATTGGATTGAAATTGCATTGACATTGAGATTGGATTCAAGAGTAAGCACCCAGTTCCTGATTGAGCAGTCAATATTATTACAACTTTCCAAAACCTTTTTTGATGAATAAATTAGTTTTCTAAATGTGTCATTTTAATTAACGATTTTTTATTTATTACAGAAAACATAAAAAGAAACACAAGAGAGAAGAAAGCCTCCTAGATTTACATCAAAAGAAATTGAAAAAGAAGAGAAAGGTAATTTATACCATATTTTTAATTTTTAAATATGGAATATATTCTTATTATTTCTACAGTCATATAGAGATGTTGTATTTCCTCTGGTAATCTCATTTGCTTACAGTCTGTCTTGTAAAATAGAGATTGCCATTACTATAGTCAGTGTAGTTAATTTACTCTCAACATTAGCCCCCTCAACTATACTTATAAATAATATAAATATCTTCCGTCTTCTCTTAGTTTTAGTGTAAGAGATGGTGAAAACTAACCAAGAATCATCAGAAATAAGAAATATTTAAGTACTTGAAAAGTGTGAACATTTGATGAAAATTAACCAAACTTTTTTTTACTACAGAAGGACGAGAAAGAAGACGGCAAAAAGGAGCGTCGTCCATTCAGTCGAGACGTGGATCTTCAAGTAAACCGTTTCGATGAAGCCCAGAAGAAATCCATCATTAAAAAAGCACAAGACTTGAACTGTAGGTTTTCCAGAGGAGAAGCTAAATACTTATAGAGGTACTGGGAGGGAATAGTAGGTTTATACCAGTTCGGTATGTAAATGTAAGGACTTGTTCTACATAATTTTGTCATCAACAAACAGTGATCTGATCTACTGTTTGATATGTACAATTTTTACAGATTTTGTACAAGGCACTTGTAAGGAAAATAATTAGGTAGAACAATATATTTTCATACAAACTTACCAACAAATTGTTACTTTTGAAATAATTTTTAAGTAGTTTTTGATGAATCCCTAAACTTTACAGCGGATTGTTTCATTGTTGTAATTAATATGTTCTTTGTGCAATAAAATCCTGGAATCTTCTAGCCGTTTACCATTTAGGTGCTTCGAGAATTGTTTTAATTTATAAAATGTTAAAATTTTAGCAGTCTCGTTAATGACATAACTATTTTCAATGGTACTCATGCACCCTAGATGCCCAGTCTTTCGACTCGTAAACTAAAGTATATTAATTGTATCTAATAATAAATTATGAATAATTTGTTTTCTGTGTGTTTGATGTAGCACACGTCCTTTATACAAAGCGGAATGAAATAAGTGAATTATAATATTAAGCTGAACATTATTTTAGTTAACTGAATTTTACTGAGGTATGAACTTTTAGTTTTATGTCCGTTTAGAAAAATACTGTGGTAAACGATGTTTCTTCTGACGTATGTTACGATCGCGTACATTGCATAATATTATTTTAGTGAAACACGGCTACGTGGACTTAATGTATTAGCACCGACGGGCTCAGGCCTTTGTTTAGCCCTCACAAGCACTCGCACAGCGGACGAATGTCAGTTAAATTAAATGAAATAAGAACATTAAATTCGTCGAAGTATGTAATGCTATTGTAACAACAACTATGTTATACAGAAGTTTAGTATACATTTAATGTCACATTGTACATGTTAATGTATGTCACAAATACTTATTGATTGAGGTTTATATGAACATTATGTATCTCTTTTTGCGCGGTCAATGGTGACAAAAATCCAAAATGTTTATATTAATGTAACACACCTGTTATCTTTGGCAATGCTACCAAACCATTGTTTAACTCCCGATGCATTATAATAACAAATATACGTAAGTACGCAAGTTGGATATATTCCGTTCTGCCAATACAGTTTGTATTTCAAAACATTTTATTTCCTTGAAATAAATTATGCAACCATTAGTTTTAGAAGAGTTAATTATTTGCTGTGAATGAAGCAGTTCGTGTAGCTATTTTCAATTTCGATATTTGATTCTCTTGTCACATTGGCCGCATATCCTCCTTTTATTTCGTAATCATTGTTTTAAATTGTATTTTATGTAGGTAATTATTATTACGTAAGTGGGTGTGCGACAAATGAAAATGATTCTTCTGGTTCAACAAGAACAATGTACAAAACTAAACATACATGGCAGAAACTAGTTGTAAATATACGATTTTACCCCTATTTTGTGTTTTATTCTAATTAGAGGCGGAACCTTCCGCGACTGTAGGACGACATTACAGAAATTGCGGAAAATTAATCAACAATGAAAATATTCAAAATATTAAAAGCGGTTACATCCTAATGTTAAAAATGCCTTTGTTTTGATTTCTATTTTGTAAAATAATGAAAAATATAATTAAAACAACAAAATCTTATGAGTATAATCCATTTACTATAATAAATGAAGGATTAAGCTAGTACATAACAATGGACGCGTTACATTACTGTCTTAGCGTCGATTGTATCTGTAGAGTTTGCCTTCTCCATGGAAGGGCAAGTCTTTACTTTGGATTCTTCACAGCAAAGCGGCTCATCCGCTGTCATGTCTGCGAACGTCCACGCATGATCGCAAATTTGATAGAAGGCTGACAACTGCAAAAAATAAACAGTAATGAAAAATTTCATGCAATTCAAGACTTGAACAATACCTGTATATTACTTTTACGTTGTTAATACTGCACGTTCAGCTTAGATCTGATTTTTATTCAACGTTTACCTTTAATTCCTTTGCATTCTTAAGCCTATTGCACAACACCTCAGGTCCTTTCGCCTTAGTAGCCGTGGCCAAGGCGTTACAAAGGCTCTTACAGGTGCTAGCGCCCTCATCGTCACACTTCACCACCAGGCCGGGGGTCTGTGACAGGATTGGCTGACTTCCTGGATCTATTGTGCTTGATGGAAACCCTCCGCACGAACAATTACCCTTTGGACCATCGTCTGGCAGTGGTGAACTGTGAACAGAGAAGAGTTAGGTACAACAAGACAGTAAGAATTAGGATAAAACCTAAGATTACTTTCAATCCTTTTGAAAACCTAGTGAGTCTTGACTCCTGCAGGTAAAAGAAAGTAAAATTATTAAGTAAATTATTAAATTAACGCAGATAAGTACCTGTTAGTTTTCTCTTCAGCCAATATCAGAGTGAGCCCGCAGAGCAGAATGACGCAGAGGTCACACAGCAGTACCCTGGACGTCATGTTGACTGCGGCGGTGACAACTTCACTGACTGACAACTTGGATACCACAACATTTATATAGCCTGGTATTTACAGTTTTCACCGAATTATACAATGTCCACACTCTGGCGTTCATTTCAGGACATGCATTTCATGAGAGACATAAATCAATAAAATTGAGTTCTTATAAGGATGTGTAGGTTCTACTGTTGTTTATAATTGGGATCTAGATTGCTGACACTACGAATGAGCAGAAAGGAACCATATACATATACCTGCAGAAACCGGCTTACCCTTTACAAACTTTCTTGAGCTGTACTTACCTAACTTACCTATTTTCATTAGGATGTGTGATTTGACTAGAAGCCACTACAGTAACTTCAAGGATAAAAAAGGCTAATGCTACTGTCGGTGATAACTGGTGCTGGTAAAATATTAAAATCCGTCCGCTAATACCCTCAGAATATGGCCACTTCAATAACATGGCCAGCTATTGTTTTGATATGAGAAGATCGGAGTTGTTATGATTGTACTCATATACAATAAGCCGTTACTTGGTTGCACTCATTTATAATTATGCATACAGGTATCATAATTTGACACTGCACCGTACGGACGGAAACCATTAGGTACCTACTGTGGACACAGTCCGCACGAAACTAGATATCTATGTGATAATGTGTAAGTTACCTAGGTATCCTCTTAATTAAATACCTACCTATAGATGGATAAATCGAGCCTGGGTGGGAGCGAGCTTGGACAAGAATGAACAATTTAAATTTTAAACTTAAGTAGGTATTCTCCAGAGTACCTTTTTTTTTTTTTTTTTGAGGGGGGAAAATCATCCAATGACTTCTCCCGCCCGGGTGAGGCGGGAGGGAGTGTCAGACTCTTACTGACTAAAAACCACCCCGTTCCTACTCCTGCACTTCGAGCCGGAGCCCCGGCAACCCGTTAAGTCTTCCGCGGCTCCGTATCGGTCTCCAGAGTACCTACATTAGTTTTTGTACACAATACAGGCATTCTGGAGAATACCTACTTAAGGAATGGCCTAATCATTAGGAATTAACCTAATATTAGACTTGAAAACATAGATAATTATTATCTCCTAATCTAGATCCTAGCTAAAAAGGCAAATGAGGAGTGACTTTGCCTTGGAATGGACCCATTTATACAATCTTTAACTTATTTGGCGATAACTTTTAATTGAAAACAAATTATAATTTTCAAGAGATAGTTTAGTGGTGAGATATCTTACGATATCTAGAAGTCTAGGGGTCCAAGCTAAAAATGAGGATATTTTAGTTTAGTAGAGCAAAAATACACATTCACTGAATTGAATAAAATTAGGCTCTGTTTGAAAAATATTTATTTTCAAAATAAAAGGCATATTACAAATATTATAAAGTAGTGTGAATAAAGGCCACCGTTTGCGATATTTCTCAACTCAAATTTTTCTTTTACAATATCTAGTCAATATGGCCAACAACAATAATTACCATTGTAGGTAATTTATTTTTTTAAAGAATTGTAACCTCTTGGCTTTATTTTACTATTGTATTAAATGGAACATGGTAAGTAATAAAAAAAGACCATACATGTATGGTTTTTTATGGTCTTTTTTATTACCATTTTAATAAGACCATGACTGACAATGACTGAAGGTTTTTTAAAGTAGGTAAGTAAATAATAATTACAATATGTATTAAATACAGTTTCCCAGTTATGTTTACATATACATTAAACTTGAACCATAAATATTAAGTTTAATTAAAAACTAACTTTTTCACTTAAAATTATGATACTTAGGCGGTTTGAGAAGTCAGTGACTTTTTTAATTTCCCGCGCATTTGTTCCAAATGCAACAACAGTGCTGCCGTCGACCGTTATCTATTAGTGGGCAACTATCAAATATTGAGCAAAATACACCATGCAGTCGTGGTGGTGGAGGTTTAAGACGCCCACTTCTCATGCATGAGGATGCGGGTTCAAGACCTACCAACGGCAAGTGACTTTTTCCGAGTAATACATATGTACTTTCTATGACCTAGACACCACTGACATACGGTGAAGGAAAATATAGTGAGGAAACCTGATAATTTCTAATTATAAATTTGTAATCGCCAACTCGCATTGAGCAAGCGTGGTGATTAATGCTCAAACCTTCTCCATATGAGAAGAGGCTTTGTTCAGCAGTGGGCACTTATAGGCTGTTGATGATGATGACGTCATGCAGTTGGTGTTTGATAGCCTTTCAAAGCAGACATCCTCGTGAATTTTTACGAAAATGGAAAAAAGTGAATTTCGTGTACTGATTAAGCATTATTTTTTACGCAAAAAAACCATCACTGAAACTAAGGAAAAGCTTTATAAATACTACGGGGACTCGGCACCATCAATTTCAATGGTAAAGAAGTGGTTTACAGAGTTCCGTTGTGGTCGTATCAGCACTAGTGACGCCGAACGTTCAGGTCGCCCAAAAGAAGTGATCACGACGGAAATCATCGATAAAATCAATGAAATGACAGGTACTGGCTGATCGGAGAATGAAAGTGCGTCAGTTGGCTCATGCTGTAGGTATCTCAACTGAACGGGTACATCATATTTTACACGAATTTTTAGACATGAGAATACTCTCTTCTAGATGGGTGCCGCGATTCCACACACACATAAGCGCAATTGTGTGACAATTTCAAAAAAGAATGTTTAGCGAGGTTCAGCCGTAATCCGGACGAATTTTTGCGCCGTTTTGTTACTGTGGCCTAAACATGGATCCATCAAAACACACCAGAGACCAAGGAACAATCGAAACAGTGGGTAGCTCGGGGTGAACGTGGACCAAAGAAGGCCAAACAGAGTCTGTCAGCCAACAAGGTCATGGCGACAGTTTTTTGGGATGTACGCAGTGTCATTCACATTGATTACCTCGAGAAAGATAAAACAATCACCGGCGAATTTTATTCAAAGCTTTTAGAGAGATTCGACGTTGACTTGAAGCAAAAACGGTCGCATTCGGCGAAGAAGAAAGCGCTGTTTCATCAAGACAATGCACGTATGCACACTTGTTTAGTCACGATGACCAACATCCATGAATTGAGATACGAACTGCTACCTCATCCCAGATTTAGCCCCCTGCGACTATTATCTGTTTCCAAACCTAAAGAAATGGCTGGGTGGTAAGAGATTTGAATCTAATGAAGAAGTCATTACCGAAACAAACGCTTATTTTGAAAGCCTTGAGAAAACATATTGTTTGGACGGAATATAAACATTAGAAAAACGCCGGACTAAATGTATCGAGCTAAAAGGTGATTATGTAGAAAAATATAATATTTATTTGCCGCAAAAAAATGTTTTATTCAAAAAGTTACGGACTTATCAAACCGCCCGCGTAAATTGTCAAAAAGTAATCAGTAGTACTCTTTACAAATACAGTCAAGAATGTAGGAACATATTTCTAATGTACTACAACTATTTACATGTTTGTTTTGTTAATAAAAATATTAGTTTTATACAAGATTAATGCTATGTTTTATAAAATATTCTGATAGTTCTCAAGAATTATGGGAAACTTTACCAACATAGAAATATGTTTTAGTAGATAACAATAATGTCTAGAAATGGGAACTATATGTCATCAAGATCAGAGTTTAATTATTATTTTTTAGCTTTTCAGACATTGAAGTTTGTTGCAGGTGTCCATGGGCGGCTGTGATCGTTTATCATCAAGTGATCCGTCTGCTTGTTTGCCTCCTATTCCATAAAAAAAGAACACCTACATTCTAATCAATTTGAACAATAAACAAAAGTTACTAGAATGTAATGAGATTAAAAGAAATATAAACAGTTCTAGGTTTTCTATAACTGCCCATTACACATGCCTCTTACAAATTATCTATCATAATTATCTTGTCTCTGGCCATAAAATCTATCTGCCTCATACAATCGTCATAGACCACTTGAAAATTAGTAAGTATTATCTTTGGGGTGCTGGCTTTGGTTTGGGCATCTTAACTAACAAAGCTTGTATTTCCTTCTTCTCATCGTAACTCTTCCACATCTCATATAAATTGATGATAGACCTCACTATCTCTTGGATCTGAAATGCACAGTTAAGATAAATTAGACCTTTGCGGTAAATTAACAGGTGTTTTTATATTATCAATTTTTATTTCTCTACAGACTCGTGTCTGTGCCCTTGTCATATAATGAGGGGCCATCCATAAATTACATCACATGTTGAGGAGGTCGACAAAGTGGGACAAAAGAGTGGGAGGCATCCTGAAACTTGTGATGTCACATTTAAAAACTATAATAATCTGTGTTAAAACCATGAACTTTTAAACTATTAATTTACAAAACCTCAAGAACATATACAACTATATCTGTGTAAATATAAGATGCCACTTGTTTTGTCAACCACAACTTGCTCTTAATGTTACCTGTGAAATAAAACTGATTTTGGACAACTATTTTCAGGACATCATGCTAGGCAGGAACTGTGACTAGGACAGTGGGAGGAGTCATGAAATTCGTGTGACGTAATTTATGGATGAACACAGCTATATTGTCCTATTAGCTGTTTCAGAGTTTGGTGTTATGTTACATAATATGTTTATACAAATGTATATCAATATTCATGGTACTTTTTTACCATGAATGTTACTCAACATATGTTACTTGATTACAAAATAATGTATTCACAAGTGCTCACCTTGTCCATGTCAACATTGAGTTCAGCGAACCATGGCTTATGGTTTTCCTTGCTCAGCATTACACATGCAATATGTAGTGCAGCTATTGCTATCTACAAAACAAACATTACAGTTTAAAATCAAGATTTACTTCAGAAATTGACAGAAAGCAACAATTGCTATGGTCAATTGAATTATAATAATTACCTGATAAGGGGGGTATAACAAGCTGACATCAGTTCTCAGTGAATCATTCACAATTCTCCAAGCATAAGTCAATAGTTGGTCATCCTGTCCAATATCTTGTACAAACAACAATAGAGGTCTGTATGGCTGGTAAACAATCAAGCAGCAGTCTAAATTTTCCAATAAATAAAACTCGCATTCCAAAATGTGATTAGTTCTATACGGAAATTCCTGCTGGCCGTATGCATAACTAAATTTATTTTTAATTACTGTTTGGCAAGTAGTTATTAGCCGTGAGTTTGAGATAACACCAAATTCTTCCACTTTGGAAGCAAGGAACACACATGTTGGTGCTAATAGCAACGGATCAATACATTTTAAAGAATTTCTTGCATAAAATCTTTTGAAATATACTGTAGCTGTGGCTATAACTTGTTGACGAAGTTTTAACTGTTCACCCAAAATCTGAATTATGCTAGCAAAGAAGTTGAATATTTTTTGATATTCCTCTTCAGACAGTATTCCCAAATCGTGTTGACGATCTCGTATAAGATCCTGTTTGTCTAGTATCCATTGTTGATGATGAGAACTTTGCCAGAAATTACCAGCCATTGCAAATTACAATTTTTAAATTTAACTCTAAACAAAAAATAATATCGCGTTCAACAATAATGTCACAAACATTTATTTATGTCAATGTCAAATGTCACTGTCACAGCAAGACATGAAATAAACCGATCCATAGACAATAATATCGTTATTGACAATAGGGTAGGTAAATGACTGTCGCGGAGAACCTATCGAGTATCTGGGGCTTCGGCTCGACGTGCAGGAGAAGGAACGGGGTGGTTTTTAGTCAGTAAGAGTCTGACACTCCCTCTCGCCTCACCCGGGTGGGAGCAGTCATTCGATGATTTTCCACCCTTAAAAAAAATAAAAATACAAAAGGGTAGATGACTAATTTTTATTTTAATGTCCGTCTGGTCGATTATTTTAAAACATTGCACACGTATTTTTTATTTTTTTACAGAAACGAATACTTTCTACGATATATTGATTTGAAATGCCAAGTGACGTCATTTCTATGTACATTTTATACGTAGAAATGACGTTTCAGCCGCCACTCATAAACTTGGATTCGTTATAATTATCTAAATATTATTTTATTATACAACAAAATAAAAAAATACTTGCCTAATATTTTGTCATTTCACTAATTAATTATATGACGGAAATTAGATTTTTAATTGTCATACCCTGTCATCATCCCTATTATTCTGACTATTTTAATTTTGTTTAGTCGGTTACCTTTTCTTTTTCATTTTCTGACATTATTGTTTGATATTTGATATTATATTAATAAAACATTATGTATAAGAGATAGATATAACTACATAAATATAACCTACAACTTAAAATAAAGTACAACTAAAACAGTGAAAGACCCTTATATAGGCCATGATGCGGGGCGAGGAGGACTAGGATGCTGTCTCCTCCTTTTGCGAAGCAGTCATGCTAGCTAAAGAGGACGCGGGGCGCGACTTCTACCTCCGGCTCGAAGTGCGGGAGTAGGAACGGGATTGGTTTTTAGTCAGTAAGAGTCTAAGACTTCCTTCCACCTCACCCAGGCGGGAGAAATCATTCGATGATTTTCCCCCTTAAAAAAACCTTAACTTGTTGAATACCGTCATTATAGACACAATTATAGAACAATAGGTTGCGATCACCGGTGACCGCTTGGTGTTTGACAGTTTAATTAGGCGTCGAAGTACCTACTACAATAAAACATATATTTGCGATAATGGTATATGTACCTAATAGTGTTTAGATGATTATGCTCGTTATAGCGAAGAAAATGGACGTCCTTAGTCAAATCTTGGTATAATTTTAGTACCTACTTTTAGTTTAGTAATAAAACTAAACTTTGTTCGCCAGTACCTACGCCCCTTCTCTAAGTTACAGAGATAAGATGATTTAAATTTTGCGGGCTACCTTGAAGCAATCATTAAATAGTTTATAGAAATGTGGTTCATGAAGATGGTAGTCGTCAAATATATAAATTGAGATTATATAATTATTTGAAATATAACTACAAAAGAACCACTAAAAATAATCTGAGTACTATGTAGGTAGATACCTTTTTTCTTTTTATTTAAACAGTCTTTAAATAATTGATGCTTAGCCAATGATACTGAGAAGCTTGGCATAATGGTTATCGCATGATTGAAGAGTCGCAGGGTCGATCCCAGCACTGAGATGACCACAGAGTTGTGTTTTACCCGGAATAATGTTAAAATAGGGAAATGAATGAGTTAATTATGTTTAAATTACAAATTTATTTTCATCAGAAGAAGTAAAATAGTGAGTATTGAAGTTCCGTCCTTTATTCCTTAATTGTTTTTCTGACTATCCCATGATATCGTTAATGGTGAAATCCTTGAGGACGTCGTTGATGACGTCAAAGAGTTCCTCACTGATCATTTGACTAACATTCTCCATCTCCGATTGGATAAGATCCTGTGTTATGTTTTGGATCATGCTATTGATGAAACCATTGATGATGTTGGATCCAGTCATGCCATGGATTTGGATCTATAAAAAAAAAGAATTTTATTTAGTAGTCGGAAAAAATCTCTCACTCTGTCCCTCTTTCTCTTATTTCTTAAACGTGGACGCTTATTGTAGAGACAAGTGCTTTTCTGTGTTGTCCTGCACATCACGCTGAAGCACAATCGAGAAATATTTATGTCTTACACAAAGAATTATTATTGTTCCATTCGAGAATCGAGCTCATGCCGAGTAGCACAGTAAAGTACCTACTAGTTGCCTAGCCATTGCATTAACCGTACACGATGCGCATTGCACAGTTGATGCAATGGCAAATATTACTATACTCACAATATTCTAAGGGCAATGTTAGTATTTAATAAAACGTTGATAACTTACGTGAGTGTCATGGATATCAATTTTGATGTTCAATTCACGTAGAAACAAATGTCCACCGAACAGGTTGGTGCCCACTCTCATGTCCAAACCGACCTCGATACGGTGAGCGAATATTCTGTAATAGGTATTACATTATGTTTGCTGTTTGCTGCAATTAATTCCTCCTTTTGAAAAAGCAATGCAAAATTTATTAATCACCTTAACTACCGCCTCCGCAAACCTCCAATGTCTTACGAAAATAGCTGTCGAACGTATGGGTTGTTAACACTCGATGAACTCAAATTTAATGCACAAATCAAATTTAATGCTCCTCTACGACGCACTCGCCATACGCCAATGTTGCATGTACCTAGGCATGCCACTAACTATGCTAGTAATTGTGTACTTGCTCGCATTGCGCGAGCCTACAACAAAGACTTCTCTCAGGTTGATGTGTTTAACTTCACAAAACCTAGCTTTAAAGCCCAAGTTAAAAATATTATAATTGATAAAGGCAAGTAGCAGGCAACTTTGTTCCATTCACCATAAAGCATTTACTATGCTAATTCATATCTTAATTAGGTTAATATTATTATCTCCCTTTCATAACAAGTAGTATATTTAACTTTCAATTCTATATTAAAACTTTATTTTTAAATATTGTTTAAAGTCCGTTCGCATGGTAAATACAAATTAAGTTAAGCAGGGAAACCTATTATTAGCCTTACTAAACTGTAATATCTTTATTTTGTATTATATCATATGTATCGCTGTTGGTTTTCTAAATAAATAAAATAAATAAATAAATAAAATGAAAGTAAATATTTCAAATTAGAGCATTATTTGCTTATTCTGATATTTCAAGTATTAGTGCAAACAAAAAATTATGCAAAGTTAAATTGAACGATAAAAAAACCAATTTCAATAGATCATTTCCATTTGAAAGGTTATAAGTTACCTGAAGTTACCACCAGCTCTGTGGGACAGGAGACCGATTCTTGCGCGGGCATCATATGTACCTGATAAGACAAACATTTTTATAATAAGAATACACTGTTGAGGATTATAACGCTAAGGAGCTTAGTCGTTGTAGATTTTATCATTTGTTATCGATTTTATTTTTGTTTTCTTCTGTTCGGAAATGATTAGGTACGTCAAAGGGATATACGTTTTAGCAACCGACGTGTTAATGATATTAGATAACTGCGATCTACCTATCTTTGTGTGAATGTTTAAATCACGCCTTTAAATCGTAAATGACTACTCATGGTACTCATCAAAATTCCATCCTTAAACTGTAAAACACCGAGCGGTCACCGGTGACCGCAACCTATTGTTCTTTAATTGTGTCTATAATGACGGTACTCAACGAGTTAATAGCGTTTATTAACAGATAGATTCAATAATCTAAGGATAAAAAGATAATGAACCGACGTACCTTTAACTTTAACGTGTTTTTCTGGGAAAGTCATGTATAACAAAACCTCCCTTTACAGATGGTCGCACTATTCACTATTCAATGAGGGGGGGGGGGGACATTTACAATATTTTTTTTTGCGATGAATCCCATGGACACGCGTTACACCAGAGGCGTCCAAGTTCATTATCGGCCTATGAGGATTAGTAATCGAAGGATTGTTGAGGATTCAGGGATCGAGGAGATTAAGATATTTACCCGTGGCAGTAATCCAAGGAATAGTGATGTGCGCCCCAAAAGCCAGTCGGATGGCGTTAAAGCTGATACTGTCAAGGACGTACCATTGAAGACCTTCCATGCGGAAGTTGTTGACGGTCACCTGGGCGGTGGTGCTGCAATGCAAACATACATTGTTATGTGTTGTGACAGGGTTTTGAACGGTACCACTTGGATCTTTAATGGGACTGGGAGTAAGCTCTGACAGACCACTGATTTTAAAGACAATGAATGATTTTAGAGAAAGCCTTTTTAGCACATCCAACCGTAGTAGTGGAAGATGATGCATTGTTAAGAGGACTTGTTACTTCCAAAATTGTCTAATAATTTCTGATGATAATATTTTGTGGTTAACTAACAACCAGTATGAACTTACGCAGGAGCCTTGTAATCGAAGGGTCCAATGACGGGTATTTCGAGAGGGTCGAGCGGAGGCAGGTCATCGTTTCCATTAATGACCACATCTCTGAAGTCTTCAATCATTTGCGCGATAGCATCAGTCACAAGGCGGGTTTGTTTGTCAGAATATTCAAGAGCAGGTGCATCTTCGCTCACATTTTCTTCATTTGCTAAGAAGTGTAGTTGCAAGTGGGTGTTTTCTAGATGATTTTCCACGTGGTCCACTATAATAATGAAAAATTTTCAAGCTTATAGACTCGAATGGAGGTTCAGACACAAATCAAAATAAGCGTATTGTTATGTAAATATCTTTTAAACTAACCTGCAGAAAGGAGATCATTTTCGACCTCAGCGCCGTGTGCAAATGCGCACACTAACAAAGACACCAGGCACAAAAGTTTCATTTTAGTGAAATATTAATTTAACTAATATTTAATTAAAATGTCAATAAATAAAATTACAGAGTTGTTTATAAAATGATAGGTACCTTGTACCTTTCCTCCCTACAGTTTGACCAGTCGTGTAATTCGCACTTGTATTTAAACACGCACGATTATCTGCATTCATCATAATTAATATCACTTAATCTCTTTATATGTAGATTAAACAATCTATTTGTTGTAATCAACCCCGTGATTTGTGCGCAGCTGCTTCATATCTCTATAATTTAGATTGTATTGTAGACAAAGTACCTGAAATATGTAGGCAGGGACTTAAATGTTATGTTATATCAATAACTATAACTATTCTATTTTAACTCGTCGAGTACCGGTTTTGTAGAC